ATCCCTCTGCTGTTACTTCTTTTACTAAAGCTAAATGTCATTAGTTCCAACAACTCTGCAGTTTTATGATGTTCCCTCTCTCTGGAGAACAAGACAAAGAATGAGACATGTCCCCTAAAGCAAGAAGACGACTGAAGTGAGTCGAGAGGATAACGTCCTGAGCACATGAACACTCTGCACTATTTGCTTCCCTGCAGCTTTCGCATTCACACATGCATGCATATATAGAACCTCATTACTTCAGTGAATTCATGCCATAAACATTTGTTAGTTCCCAATAAAAAATGTAGATTGCTTTAAGATGCAAATGAGAAATTAATGACAGAGAATTGTACAAAGACATAACTAGTTAGAATGAATGATGCTTTCACGTGGCTCAAACAAACCTTAAACAATAAAAGGTATCAATAGGAGTGTCAACTGGCAGTAGAGCACACACCTCCACCAAGGCCCAACCATCCTCTGATCCAGATCCACACCAAAATATACGTTTTTCCTTGGATCATGCCCCACCCCTCCACCCAAATTGAATGGGGAATAACTAGATTTTGTGTAATCCTGCTGACTATCAAAAAAACAAACATAAAAGATGAAAACATAACATCCTTCATGGTGGAGCTAATAAGGGTGATATTGTTCTATTACAATACTGAAGATAGTCACTAACATCCACTAACATGGTGGTAGGCATTCATTCCTGCTGTATACAAGAGATATTCTCCATCTTATCCTTTGTTTTAAAATGGGACAGTGTTAGGTTAAAATGGCACAGAGATAATGATGTCAGAGCTACTGAGCAGGCTACATGGCTTTCATAGTGCTGCCATTACAAGCCAGTAGCCAGTCAGATTCACCTTTAGCCTGTATAGTTCAGCCTGTATCGTTGATCACGAGGCCAAAACACTAGAAGACACTAAGGTGCACAACTAAGGTTATGTCCCTGACATCCACTGGCGGCCGCTAACACATGCTAGCATCTTCTGTTGGTAATGTAAAGTATACAGAAGACCTTCAAACAAACATGGGACATTCACCATCTTGTCTTATATTCTATTGGAGATATGAAAGTATTAAATAAATTATGAACATATGATAGTAGTACTCTCGGTAAATTACGCTTATTTGGAAATGATGATTTGATAATCAAATAGTGAATTGATGACCATTGTTAAAATCAATCTCATAGATATTTTCAAAAATAATCAGATACAATTTTTTGTCACCATAATGCCAGAAAAAAGTGAAAATGGCCAAATATTCAAATGGCTGTGGAGTCAAATTCCATTAACTTGAATGGGGAGATACTATGAGGTCGTTGAACCATATGTCATATAACTCTCATAAAATTGACCCTGAAATGAAAACAGCAAATTATTCAAATTGATTCATGCATAAAAAAATTAATGAAACAGTGAAAATAGTTTACTGATTATTCAATATTTGCCAATTTAGGTTCAGCTCATTGCTCTAATTAACGAATCAACCAGTAATATTAGTTTAGCACCTGCTGTCTTTTTAAACTAACAGCTGTTCCACTGATTTTCAGTATATTTCCCTCAGAATGATTCTTTCAGTAGCTCCTTAAAAGCTCAAATATCATACTGTTATTTTCTGTCTATATTTATACCAGCAACAACTTGTTTTTTGGCCACAAATCCAACATCATTAATTCGTAGACAGTTTGTGTCCACCTGTTAAATGTTAAATTCTCCACTGTGTTAATCAGTGTCTGCTGTGTAATTGTAGCAAACACTATGATAATTGAAGAGACTATTAACTGTCAATATCGGGCTATAGAATCAATACATGATCGGTAGTTCTTTTTGCATTCATCAGTGCAAAACAACCGAAACAAGTAGTGTATGAAAATTCTCACTTTTCAGAAAATGAAACAGCAAATGACTGATATCCATTCATGCATAAAAAAAGAATGAAACAGTGACAATGGTTTACTGATAATCGAACCTTTGCTCTAATCGATTGATCAGTTCAGTTCATTCAGTTTGAACCTGTTGGAAACTTTAAATGTATTACATCAGTTTTGAGGATGACTCTGTCGCTGTCCATTACCTGCGGTGCTGAAAATCATAATCCAACCCCCTGCGCACAATTCTGCTATTTCTGACCGCACACTACGTGGATAACGTAACATTTCAATCCTCCATCGTCAGCCGGAGCACGCTCGTATTAGCAAAAGTCTCTAACAAGTGGTCGCAGCGGGCGAGTTGGAGCACTAAAGTGCGGGTTTCCCTCCAGACACAGCGTGGTGTTGCGTGGTTTCACCCCCAGATCCGCGCTCCGAATTCACCAACGCCCGATGAGTGATTTTCTTACGCTCCACGAGCCGTTAGAGGTTAAAATACGTCGTGGGCGTAGCGGCTCCTTGTAATGGCGACCGTGCCGTAGCTGTGCCCAGGTTTGTGAAAATGAAGCGAAGAAGAAGTTATTTCTTTTAAGTGAAACGCCGAGGTTCCCCGGAGGAGGACTGCGCGTCTGCGGCCGTCGTCTCTTAACGTGGTTAACTCTGCCGTACTTCTGAACTCCGCTGCCCTCGAGATGATGAAGCTCAAGTCGAACCAAACCCGGACGTACGACGGGGACGGCTACAAGAAGCGGGCCGCCTGTCTGTGCTTCAGGAGCGAGAGCGAGGAGGAGGTGAGGCCGGGGATGCTTCCGTTCGGGCGGGCCGCGCTAACGCTAGCTGCCTGGGTGTCTGCCTCCTGTCTGTATGTTACATCAATCGTCCCCGCGGCTGGTGCGTGTGTTTCGGCTTGGAAACACAACACGCCGCCTCAGCCTCTGGTGTTGTGGGTTAAATGTGTAGTTTTCACCTCGTACTCACGGTTATGTAAGACCCGTTAGCCTTGCAGGTAGCAGCCGCCTCTTCTCATGCCGAGCCAGCCCGCTAGCTGCATGCTATCGCTAGCATTAGCTTGCTAACTAGCCGCCGTGGGCAGCCGGCTCTCGGCCAGCGACCGCAGCCCCTGGTCCGGGCTGTGCTGGGCGCTTATCGTAGTACCTGGAGCGGTTAGATTAATGGTAATAAATACCCAGACTTATAAAGTGTCAGTTAAAGACATTTATCTGCCGGTGCTCAGAGGTTATTTGGCGCGTTGAGTGACTTGATGCTAACTGTGATGGTGTTAATGCAACTGGTCCTGCTAGCCAAACACTGACATGTAGCTATTAGCCATTTTAGCTTTAGCCAACTAACCCTGGTAGTGATACCCGGCTACTTCGCAACACCGTCACGGATCCTTTATAACTTTATATTCACAACACTAATATTTGTGAGCTTTGTCATATTTGCTCAGTGTCAACATCTAAACGTTTTGTTCACATTTCATTAGCTAACATCTGTGCTAATGAGCTACAGCGGCTACCTCCGTGCTCTCCTCCCTCAAAGCCGCTGCATCTACCCCTGCAAAGGGTTATTTGAGATCAGGAGCGTTTTGGGAAGCTGATGTCCAGTCAACAACAACAAGCACAAAGATGGCTTTGTAGTGGAAACATTTTTTTTTCCTTTGACTCGGGGTGGAGACGAAATGAGACAAACTAATTCCACATTCTGGTGAAAGGCTTGTGAACCACATGGGTTGATCTCAGGAAACATCAGTATGACCAGCACGTAGCTCCAAACTTCTTTTTTTTTTCTTTTTTCACCAGACACTGTAATCCAGCAGATTGACAGTCAGCCAAGCTTCAGATTTACCACAGCAGACTGACACCGTGAACTGGAAGGGAACAAATTCAGTGATTCATACCGGAGCCACTGAAAACAAGCATGACACAGCGACTTAACTGCGTTCACACAGTATCCAGCTGATAGTCAGAGACAGTCTCCAGTGTAGCATTTCAAGCGTTTGGGTAGTTGACAGGTAGCTGTTGTGTCATAAGTTGGGCTGTTTCTTACATTTATTACCAACACAGATTGCTAAATATATCTCGCTCGTGCAACAGCACTTGTGTAATATGAACACACATCAACAAACGTTGAGTTGGTCTCTGAACTGTCTTGCATTGGATGCTTTGCAGGTGCTGCTGGTGAGCAGTAGTCGACATCCCGACAAGTGGATAGTTCCTGGAGGGGGGATGGAGCCAGAGGAAGAGCCCAATGTTGCTGCAGCCAGAGAAGTGTGTGAAGAGGTCAGTTCTTTGTCTTTTTTCATTATTATATCTTATTTGAGTTTTTATTGTGGGCCATATTGTCTGTTTTACCAAGCCCGCCTTAATAAACTTTACTTGACCCTTGTATTTTGTGAAACATACCTTTCTGGACTGAGTTAATTGTTCTGAGAAAGGATTTCCATTCACAGTGTGGCAAATTGGTTTGAGCATAGGCTCATGGAATGTTTTGTATTTCATTTCTATTAAATCATATCCGTATTTAACGCTGGGCCCTAATACCTTGCTCTCAAAGCCCATTTTGTCAGTGCAGTCATCCTGTTTGTGCGGACAGAACGAGAGAGAGCCTAGCAACATGTAAGCTGTATCATAGCATCATGTTTCAAAGCAGTGTTTAGGTGTCAAATAAGGTTACACTGAGATTGAACACTGGCTGCCCAGCGGTGCCACTGCAGCGCTATCCAGTCGTGCAGATGAATCAAATGAAGCAAAACAATCAACTTTCATTGTTAATACCTTTCAGATATTTCTATTTTTACAAGAGCAGCCTTGTTGCGTCATCGTGAAGGACAAACTGGACATTTTTATCTGTGTAGGAGAAGTGTAGCAATTAGTCAACAGCTCTGAAGCTCATTGGAAATCAATATCCTGCTGATGCTGCCTATGTTTTTTTCCTTAAATCAGGAGGCCCTTTAGTGGCCATGCTGTTTATCACCCTGGCATTTTGATCAAAATGGCGAGAGGGCACTGAAGACACTAAATTGCGCCCAGCTGTCAGCCCTTGGCGGGTCACTGACCATATAAAGCCTCTTCTCTTGTGTGCGATCCATCACAATGATGGACGCTGATATCATCTCTTATCCTGGCTCTTGTAGTGTGGTTTCTTTGGCGGTCCCAGGATGCTGTGTCTTGCCAACACATTTTCACAGGGTCAAAAGCAATGTCACATCACTACTGAAGTTTGTGGAAAGTGCTGAAAGACCACAATCAGAAACTTTGTGGCGACTTTGAGTGGTCCTCGATGCATCACCGTGTCCTGAGGCTTTCTAAGCCTCTTATTGGACGGTGGTGTAACAGGACATATCCTAATCCTCGCAAGCTCATTCTAATGACCATACGAGTGGTGACTGATTGCTGATGCTTATTGGTTTGGAGTCTTGCCAAGGATGACAGTGAAAACACAGATATCTGGAGGAGGCCCAAAGTTACAGAGCTTCTTTGTTAGTCACAACCTCTGCTTATCCTTGGTAGTCATACACCCCCGGCCTTGCACCGTGAAGACACAGGACAGCGTTGCATAACTTGTAATTCAGCCTCACTGCTCTACATCTTTTTCCAAGTCGATGACCATTGGTTTTCAGTTACACGAATGCTTGAGCTGGGAGACATTTTCCATCTCATAAAAACATGCAGGTTGACGTTTGCCCTATTACTTAATCCTTGGCACATCTTTGGGGTTTCTAGAAGTGAGCCTGTTCTTTTTAACATGATCTTAGCTGGAGGCCATAAGAGTACAACACTAAGTCTGTGGTACAGTGCATGGAGTCAACATTTATTAATAGACTGAAACTGGAACCTGAAGAAGAAGCTGCAAAGATATCAGCAAGTGTCGTGGCTCTGTTTCTAAATCTAACCTACTATTCTCCTCTGGGAGTGAAGATCTTGTTATTAGTTTGTTTAAAGGTAACGGGAACAGAAGTGTTCATGGTGTCCGCTTTGAAGAAAAGGTGTGACAGTTTTATGTTCGTGGAAATTGTATCGGCCACTGACCACTGACCGGTCTCTCTTGGTACAGGAAGCATCTCTTAGAAGAGTGGTTGATGTGTGACAATAAGCAAGAGCGGAACAATCGTGTTGACAAATGTTTTACAGCTGCATAATAAAGAACTACAAAGATTATTTGACTTAAATTTCTCCTGCAAGTGTGTTTGGATTCACAACATTTTTGTTTTTGTCTTCAGTGTTGACCAAATGTCTAAAAAGTAGACATTTGAAGATATTTCCATGCAAACCAATTTCATCTAGCCTTTGGCTAAATTAAATGTCACTGCACTGAAATGTGAAATGAATAAAGTGAATGAAGAATCAATAAATGCAGCACACAGCCTCCATTTTTCGGTCGAGTAAAAGAGTTTGTGTTTTTTGTTTTTTTACTTGTGCATTATTATGAGGATTCAGCAGCTTCCCAGAAACTGGATGGGGTGAATTTGCTGGGGATAAAAACGGTCTTATGATGTAATGTAATCCACTGCAACACAAACAAGTGCCAGTAATACCTTGAATAAAGTTAAATCAACAACTCTGGCTCTGTCGCTACAGGGCTTTTATTGTATCAGCCACATTGGGCTAAATCCCATAACTTTGTATTTAGAAAAATCTAGTGTTTCATCTTTTTTAACATTTCCTTTTCTTTTTGTGTCTGTACAGGCCGGTGTGAAGGGGACTTTAGGTCGCTTAGTTGGAGTATTTGAGGTGAGCTGTTAACAAATTTTTGGTCTTTTCATGTCAACACTCACAGTTTCTGCGAATTAGAAGTAAAAATATGAGAATTTTCCCCCACAGAACCAAGAGAGGAAACACAGAACCTACGTCTACGTTCTTGTTGTAACAGAGGTGCTGGAGGACTGGGAGGACTCTGTCAACATTGGTAAATCTCCTTATTTGCTTTATTAATATAAGTTCTCAGGCTGTCTCGTGATGGCTTTATTTTTCTCGCCTCAGTGATATCCCAGTTCAGGCATTTTATTGTATGTTTGTTGGATCTGATCATAACACCAGCTTTGTTTCTGCCCTTGTGATTCTCACTTCTCTGCTGCGTTAAGTGCAGATAATTATGATGCTTTTTCTCCTCATGTCCTAACTTGCTCCACAATGGTTTGTTGTTTTGTCAACAGGGAGAAAAAGGGAATGGTTTAAAATAGACGAAGCCATACGAGTGTTGCGGTGTCACAAGCCCGTGCAGGCCACCTACTTTGAGGCTCTCCAGGAGAGTTGCCTCACCAGTAACGGAACACCTTTGGTGACCACGATAGGTGGGGACCTCTCCCCTACCTACAGCATCAATCAGAGCTCCGTCTCTGGTATCAGATAACTAAAACCATAACTCTGACACCCCCTGGAGCTTTTGAGCTTTCGCCACCACTTGCGCTCTTATTTGTGTCTCTTCTTCTTCTTGCTCTTCTTCTTCTTTTCTTCTTTTTCTTGCTCTTCTTCTTCTTCTTCTTCTTCTTCTTGTTGTTCTTCTTGTCTCAATAACATGGTTTGCCTTGCCAACTCCTTTGTGCCAGAACTGTGGCACAGACTTGATGACAAGTGTTGGGTGAAAAGTCTGAAACACTTTGTAAATGTAATTTTTGACCCCCCCTCTTTTGTTTTTCTTTTTACTGACAACTGCATGAAATGTCCTCTTGCTCCCTTCATTCTCTTTCCTTAAAGCACCCTTAGCGTGGTGTTTATTGAATGCAAGAACTACTTTTTACTGTTGTAATGTAAAAGTGTATACTTAGTGCTTAAGCTGAAGGCTTTTGGTGGTCTTTTTAATGTCTCCTCCATTTTTCTTTGGTTATTTCTCTGTGAATGAATGTGCCCATTAGTGTAGTCCCTCCCCTGTTGTAAGGATAAGAAGTGCTCTCTGTGTCTGAATGAACAGAACTGTGGGAAGTGACTTGTCTTGCATGAGCACCGTTATGTTGTGTCACGCTCAGTCGAGTGACCTGATGCTGACTGTGCAACAGATTTGTGGTAAAGTCTTTTGGATTATTTGGATGAGGTCTCTTCATTTTGCTACTTATCGTGGTTGTTGATGTCTCTCTTATCAGAAGGATACGGCCCCTCAGTAGTGTTTCAACTTCAAGTTTGCTCGCTCTTATTTGGGGAAACAACCCAAGCACTATAGGTGTCGTTCTCAAACAGAGCTTATAGACTGTGGAGAGAGTGAAAGAATGTCAACATACAATGTAAATGAACCACCGTTTTCCTCAGTGTCTTTACCTCCTTTTAATCCCATTTTGGTTTCTTTCTTCTTTTTTTTTTTAAGCTTTCTTGTGACTTACTACAAAGTCTTCCTCCACATACTTAGAAGGTAGAAGCAGTAGATTTCAAAATTATGGACTTGTAACTTCAAAATGCAGCACATATCACTTAAGTTATTAAAACCCATTTCCGTATTTTACTCCTCACATTCAGTTTGGTTAAAAGCATTTGTTTACATTGTGTTCGTAGCACAGGTGACTTTAGTGGGCACATTTCATTATGGTCTTTTTTTTTTTTTTTTTTTTTTTTTTTTTTTTTACCCTTCTGTCCTTAGTATTTAATCTGCATCCCCAAAAACACTCAAAACACCTGCTTGACATTGAAAGTAATGGAATCTAAAATGCTGTCTTTGGCAAGATGCAGAACAACAAGCCTTGTACAGTTTGAGACCTCGTTTTTAACATGTAAAATGCTTTTGGATACTTTTTTTTTCTCCTCTCTAACGTCTGGCAAAAGTCTCTTTAACTGAGCTGCGTCACTTGGCCTCTGTGGCACGAGGCAGCTGGCTCAATACTGTGAAACTGGAGGCGCTGTAGATAGCATGTAAGAGGTTTTTATTGTAAATTGTTTATTTCTGTATAGATCAAAGGTGAGAGTACAAATGACTAAACACATCTTACACATCAGTGAGTGCTACGTGTCACCCAGGCTGGAAGATTTGATTGAGCTCTAGCTGTCGGTTCTGGAGCCGTTTGGACTTTTCTCTTGAGATAGCGAAGAGAACATCTGAGGATAGAAGAGCGAGGAATGTGGCTGAGATCGTAGGTGCGAGAAAAGAGCCTTTAATCAAAAACTCTCAAAAATTCTTCAGACCAAATCAAATTAACGGCAAGATGTTAGGTTTTCTTTTCCTTAACTTTGGACAAGCTTGGAAAAAGCAAAGTTTCTAAACCTCTATTCAGTTTAGCACCTGCTGTCTTTTTATACAAACAGCTGTTCCACTGATTTTCAGTATATTTCCCTCAGAGTGATTCTTTCAGTAGTTTCTTTCCTAAAAGCTCAAATATGATGCTGTTATTTTATGTAGATATTTAAACCTGCAACAACTTATTTTTTGGCCACTTAGGGATATTGAAACAAGCTTTAAACCCAACATTTACAGGGAAACTTAATTTGGAGACGTGTTTGTGTCCACCTATTAAACGTAAGTTCAATATTCAGTCCCCTTTTACGGCCATATTGGTCTCCACCACCCCCTTAAGGTAATATCTTGATTTCTAAGCTGCCCAGTTCTCCACTGCGGTAATCTGTTTAATTGTAGGCAAAATGAGAATTGAAATGATCCAAAACAACCCATACAAGTAGTGTATGTATGTGAGTCACTGTTCATGTAAAAGATACAACTCGGCTTTGCAGGTTGGGGGGAAAAAATAAATAAATAAAAAATTCCTCCGTTTTATGGCTAAAATTCATGGGAATTGTAGTTTTGGTCCCATTTAACTCTGAATATGACATAAAACCCTGCAGCATGATTCAGGAACTGATGAAAAATGACTTTGTGGGGAAATAACATGGAGAACTGAAAGTGAGTGGACTAATGCTAAACTAGATAAGAGACTGATAAGACATTACGAGAGCAGTGGTGACTTCATCATCGTAGGAGACCTCCCCGCCCCAGCGAATTGAGCTTCACACTAACTCCTCATATCGGCTTGTGATAATCCAGGAATGAAACAGTTATTTCCCCTAAATGACAGTGAAGGTGAAAGACGTCTAAAGTCTCCTTCACAACAGTGGGAGACTTTGAGCTGGTTTTACTGCTGTGTGTCAGAAAGGTGTGGCGGCCAAAGTCCTGCTTTACGATGCCCCACTCTGCACTTCCTTTGAGATTTTTGTGTTGATAAGCGCTTTTAGTCTTCATCTCAATGTGCAATTAGACTTTAAGGGGACAAACCAGTTTGTGGCATGAGAAACAAAACTTAACCCTCAGTAATTGGCTTAATGATTGAATTCACTCTCGGTGGTTTGATGTGGGCGATAGATTCTTGGCAAAATGAATGTGAGGAGGATTTCCACAAGTAACAGCCAGTGACTTGATTATTAATGACCACTTGTTCTTTATCCATATTTTTGTTCTGCTTTTTCTTTAATCTGTTGTGTTGTTGACAAGCTAATGTCTTGTATATAGCTAACACAGCATCCTTAAAGCCGGAGGACGCACTCTGGCTCTTGGTCAATAAGGATTAAGTAATAATTTAATTTCTTTACTTTTTAAACAAGTCCCCTTCAACTCAAAACTCATGCTCCGTCTCAAATGGAGTAATTCAGGCAGTTCAGGAGGGCGTTCGTAAGAGTTAATGTCTCCATATAGTTAAAGTTAAGATGGAGCAAACAATTCTACCCTTTTCTATGATGTTGAAGCTTGCGAGCTTGGTTAAAACAGAGGATTTATTAGTTAAAGAACAATGGGATCCACTGATGAAGTATATGTATCATCATGTCCATTAACTGGCCCCATCTTGTGGCCAAAGCAAAAACATATAAAAAAGCACATCACTAAACAGCTGAGGATTGTAAAAATCAGCTAAATGACTTATAGAAATTGATTTCCAAAAAAAATTGCCCCCAAGAAACTTTGCAATTGAAAAAGAAAATGAACACGTGCACTTGTAGCTGTCAACCTCAGCCTCGAAGTTACTCGTGATTGTTTTCTCTGAAGTATGTGTCACTGGAATATTCTTTTCCTCTCTTGTCATTTGGGACTGTGGAATTAAACCAGTGCGAGAAGACTGAAGATTGTAATATAAATGTGCCAACAAATAAACACCAGTATTTCACATTCAGGCCCGTGTCTGTGAGAATTTGTACTGTTTGTCACACAAATACATGATCTGCTCTGTGGAGAGGAAGATTTGAAGATTACACAGTGGCCTCCTATGGAGTCGCAACTATTGATTCATCTGCAAATTGTTTTGAAAAAATGGTTAATGGTGCCCTCTGCAATTTACATAACCCAGAGTTGATGTGTTCAAATTCCTTCTTAAACAGTCAAAAACAAAGGTATTCACTTTACAGTCATGATCAAGAAGAGCACTTTTCACATCTGACGCATGAACCAGCAAATTCTGCATAAATATAATTAAAAGCGATCACAGATTAATTTCCTGTTAGCTGATCTACTCTTAGATTATTGCAGTATTCTGGTTTTGTACTTTATTAACCAGGAATGAACATGAAATTATCTAATGTGCATGTGTGTATCAGACAAATTAGGCTGCAATGTAAATTTTTGCTGCAAATAAACATCACTTTTAAAAAATGAATTTGATATATTCTCTCTGCCCGGTCAGCAAACACTATACTTTAAAAAGTTTGATATGAGCAAACGAGGGAGATGGCATTATACAATCAATGCAACCACACATCAAGGGACTACAGGACTGTCAAGCACGTCCACTACCTGATCCAACATCGACCACAGCCTGGAGCCAGATTCATGAAGCCCCAGGCCATTTCTGCTATTGGCTTTCTGACAAATCACAGCATAAAATAAGTTGTGAATCATAATTTATAACTTAAACGCAATTAACAGTTACATCCTGGCAAATCAAAGCAGGTGCTTTTCACAAGTCAAAATACCTGTGGTGATCACGGCCGAGTTTTCTGTTTAATTACACAACACAGGCAAGTTTCTAATGATTCACTAGGTCCTGAATGCTGTACAGAATACATACGATCATACAAGCCAAAATATTCAAGATGAAAAATCAGAGACTAAAATTATTCATCAACATTTCTTCCTGCAGTGAAACAACAACATCCCCTGGGTCCAGTTTGAGTCTTGTGTATTGGAGGCATTGTACAATTGAACATTGATAAAAGAAAATGCTAAAGTGGAACTTACTACTGTGCGAGCAGCATCGGGTGTTTGCTACAGGTCAAATGGTGCCGAGTAAAGTTGAGTTAAAATCCTCACTAGACATCTTCTGATCTGTATCTTCTTACAGCAGAGACACATTTTATAATTAAATGCAACTTCAGGTTAGGGAACTAAATGTAATGTTTATTTTAAGTCAAACTCACTTAATCATGTTATATTTTAGTTTAAACCTGGTCACATATTGACCTGAGCTCATTCTTTTTAATCTGAGATCTTCTGAACGCTGTTCAGCATCAAAACAAGATCATAGTAAAACAATGCAACAGTAACCGAGAGCAGCAATAATTAAATACAGGGACGCAGAAGTTGTATTTTGATTTTTCTTTATTGTACACAAAGGAACAGTGAAATTTACTGAGGCTGCTGTCCTCTGCCGCGTCCAAAGCCACCCCTCTGCAACAGAGAGCTTTTGTCAGTACATCACTCAGACCAGGTTTATTACCAGAGTTAAGTTTGATAACTGCAATAAAACAAAATGAAGCACCCCGACATCCTTTATTGAAAAGAGTTTACAACTACAACTGTAAAATACATTAGTATAACTTCTGTAAAAATCAAACTTATTCCCCCTCAAAGAACAAAAACACCCCCCTACACAAGATCAAGAGAAGTACTTACAAACTGGAACTCTGTTGCAGCTCCAGCGCCGGCCTCTGCTTTCTTGTCAGAACCAGCTGATGGAGCAATAATGAACAAGTCAGCCACGACATTCATCAATTTAAACTTCTAGCACATTCAACACCCGATTTCAACTTCTCGTATTAAAAGCCAGGGCTGCAGCTGAAGTTTTCATTATTCATCTACAGGTTTGTTTTCCATTCATCTGCTGGTTGATAAAATTCAATATATCTGACAAATCAACAAAGGCAGGAATTTTCCATTTACTTTGATGAAAATTGAGAAAAGCATTTTTTAAAAAGCCAGTATCCATAGACTGACTTATGAATTGACTTATTTAGTCTCTTTAACTTCGATGTACATTGTTGAAGATAAATATTTGAATTCCTAATATGCCAACTAGACAGTGGGGGGGGTTTATTGTTGCTAATTCATTACAAACCCCAAATGAAAATCAGTTTGAGAGTTCTGTTCAACATTTACACTCAAAGCACAGAAGCTGAAGATGGTGAGTATTATGAAGTGTACTTACGTGGGGCAGCAGATCTCCTGTATGTGTCTCTGTCAGCCTCCCCACGGTTGAGGCGGGCGGGCCTCTCTCCCTCCATTCCTGAAGAAAAAAAAATCCAATTTACACTTTGATTACAGTTTGTTTCACTTCACATAATAGTGTTTGTGAGTGAAAGTATATTTCAATTATTTGAATACCAAGGGTCCTAGCTAAATACATGTTCAACAGAAAAATTACCAAAACAGCTGAACTTCAACCCTATGATTTCTTTTATCAGTACACATGTTTCATGTGAACTGAACACTCGGCTTCAGCAGACGTCCTCAGAAAATTTGACTGAGATTAATATCCACATATTAAATGACTCAAATAAGGAAGCTCAAACATTTTCATTAGTAACCAGATTCAGTAACTAAAGAGGGAAGATCATTAAATAACCGACTGCAGCGTAAACAATCTGCTTCCTGTTCACACCAGCGTGCACATGACCGGTGTACGTGAAAGGTCACATGCGTTTTCAGGCATGTTGATATGAACAGACATTAATATCTGATAGTTAAAATATGTTCTCATGCAGTGGTCATTTCATTTCAAGAGTTTTTAATTAAAAATGTAATTGTGGATGTATCCAGAGATTTTACTGGTGGGTGAACCATCCACATGAAACAATCAGAGTTGCTGAAGTCAACACTGAGCCACAGCCGCAGCCTTTTTTCTCTGTGCAGTTAAGCTCTTTGGTATGTTTCCACTCAGCAGCTTTACATCAGCAGCTAATGACCTGTGGTCTAGTTTATTCAGACATTTACCACCAGTCTACAATTAATTAAATGTCTTCTGAACAGAGAAGCATTAATATAACAGTATACTTCTGACTGATACTACTGACATAGCAACATCAGTCAAGTTATCACTGCCTGTGATCTGTAGATTGTGATATTGGCTTTTCAGAAACGACACAACTGACCAAAGCCACACCAAGTGCACACAGGAGCACTCACCCTTGGGCCTGGGCCTTGCGGTCTCAGGGCGGGTCTGGCGGCGCAGAGTGGCGGGCACGATCTCGGGGGGAAGGTGAAGGAAGTCTCTCAGGTACTGGATTCCCTCATTGGTGAGGTACCAGTAGAAGTGACGCCAGGCAAATTGCTCCTTGACGTACCCACAGGACTTCAAGGACTGAGGGGAAAAACAGACATCACGGTATTGACATGCTGGAGATGCTACCACAACAAATCACAATCAAACTCCATACAACAGAGGATCTTTATAAGTCTTGTATTTTTTCCCTGATGCGTAAATGAAATCTTTATCTACATGTACCAATGTTGGTGAAATCAAACTAAATAAATTCAAGCTGCAGTTTTTAAAACAGACCTATCATTCTGTTCCACTGTCTCAAAGCTACACATTGACTTGTGTATCTGTTGAAGCAACAACTCATGTACACACAGTCAAAATTCTCTTTGTCAAGTGTTTCACTTCCACAAAAGTCCTGAAAACCTGCATCGTGACTGTGTAATGAAAAAGACCTGGGATGCACATTCATAACCCATTGGGTGGATGTAGAGATGAGGAAGTGTCACATTTACATCTTTAAATAACTAAAATTGACCATATGATTGCACACTTGTGAAATAATATAAAAAACATTAAAACATTGTATCCATCACAGTTGGGTTAGATTTGCTCCATAGGACAGACTCCAGCTGACTTATTATAATGATTACAAGTTCACTATATAAGAGTATGCTGACATCTCATCTCAATGCATCAAATTCACAATTGTCTATATTTCTGCACATGGCTGCTACTTTCATCAGTTAATAAAATCAGTCTGACAAAGATGAACTCTGATTTTATGTAGAAAGTGCTTCAGTATTATGGACTGTTATATTACTGTTAGAACAAGTGTGGTGTAATACAAAATAAGGCTTTCAATTCATAAATCAGAGTCTATGACTGTGTTCAGTTTTCTCCACATTGACATATCATGGTGGCCATACATGGCCCCCCCTTAGCAGCACCACTGAAGTGACTCTGCTGCTCTGCTCTTTTCTAATCATCACACTAAGAACTCATCTTGAGAAAAAACCTGCTGAATTCATATTTATGTTCCTGGATAAACGTGGTGTCACTTCTTCTGCACCAAAGATTTTAAAACACTGTGTTGTGTCGTAATCTGCTTTAGAACTTCTCTTTTGTCTGCAGGAGTGTGTGTGTGTGTGTGTGTGTCTGCTCGTCTCTGTTACTCTTCACACACCAACTGATAATTAGTGTTAAATAATTGTATTAAATCATCGATGAAGTCTGATCATGACTCTGGATCCTGATGTCCTGACTGTGTGCATCATGTTACATCTTGTGTAGCAGGTTTAAATGAGTCTCATAAACTAAAGTTAATCAAACAAACACAAGCATCAGTCCTGTGCGTGTCAGTGATGGTGTTAAGTGTAAAGTGAGCACAGGTCAGAGGACGGTGGAGGAAGCAGACTAAGACAGAGACTCTGACACAGGACGACCGGACCTTTACTGAGGGTCCGTCCTGATCCTGGAGCAGCGATGGTTATAATCATTCAGCTGCAGAAATTATCCATCTGAGAATTGAGATCTAGTTTTGACATTGCTGCAATCCATTTTCCATTTCATGTTCTGTTCGCTTGAACACACAAATGTGAGGAGCAGTTTTCTTACCGTTACAATTGATGCACCAGGTGAATGAAAAGTGAGTTCATATTAAAATGAAGAGTTTTACCCGCCAGAGAACACCCCACCGTGAAATATAACACATTCACGTCACAGTTTAACACAGCATCGTTCTGTCAAAGCTACATACAGAGTCAGTGTTGAACCTTCATCCTCCTCCTCATCATCATCATCATCAGTCTCTCACCTGCATCGCTTTCATCACATGAAGGTTGGGCACGTTCTTGTCCGCGAGCTCGGGGTGGTTGGGCAGGTGGACGTCTTTCTTGGCCACCATGACGCCCTCCTTGAAGAGCAGCTCATAGATAGCAATGCGATTCTTCTTGGGCATCAGCATCTGCACAGAGACACAAGTTCAGCGACATGAGTCCACACGCAAGCATGCTAACAGGCTAGCTCGCCTTAGCTTGATCAAAGCTTTAGCGTTTGAAACGATCGGAGCAGAGAAGCTACGCGCTAACGCTTCGTTAAATAAAAAGCAAATGAAGGTTTACAGAGACACGTCACTGACAGGACACTTTAATAAACGCTAACGTTGCTGGAGGAGGCCTGTGCTTAAAAAAAATGGCAGCCAGTTCGTGAACATCAGTCAGGGCGACTGCTCCACTTCTAAGTTCAATATCCGACATTTTAAAACATTTACAGATAAAATACTTGAACGGTTTCACGTGCGACACAAAGATTAATCGAACGTTTAATGTTTTAGTTTCATGGGGAACCAGATGAAGCAGATTTATTCAGATTGAAATCGCCGGGTCTTTCTTTACCTTTCCACTTGATAGGGGACCGGAGCCGGAAGGAACGACTGTCGTCGGAGGGAAAGGTTTATTTCCTCCGCTCGGGCCCAGCGGCGAGTCGCTGCCCCCTGTCGGTGTGGAGGAACACACGCGGTCTGAATGATAAAATGTCCTCCAGAGAAGTTGAGATGTTTTCATCCATTTGTGAACATTAAACAAAGATATATGTTTTATCCTACATGTGGAAAATACACAGTCTCAATATAATGTTCATATAATCAGCACAATTTATCAACAGTATCAAAACACAGCCTACAGGAACTTCTTTAGCAGAGATCTTTGGATTTTGAAATGTTACTTTCACTTTGAGGGGTATAAGGAATGTTAGGTACATCATTGCTATTTTACTAATTGATTTATTTTTAAATTTGTTTAGGAGTCTGTCTTTGTTTTATCCGTCAGGGGAAAAACCTTTGCAGTATCATGTCCAGGCTTGAAATCCCTTGAATTGCAAATAGAACCAGTTGCAGCTCTGTAGGTCAGTATACCATTATATATTCAGTCAGAAAAACTAATTGTTGAGGTGGTGCATGTCTTATTTTGAGGAGTTGAAATTATGTTCAGTGCAAAATTGTTCATAGTCTAATAAATTAGCATCTACAACCACTCTTTTCAAAATAAAAATAGCTTATTCCTGTGTAGTGTGTCTCTAAGAAATCAGTTTCTTTATATTCATGATTATGGCATACACAAATTACATGTAGTATATCATGTCACCTTTTTCCTTTACTCTGCCTATCTGAGGTATTCTTGCAAGATACATTATTACCTTGATTTTGAATTATTCAACGTCATTTTATAGTAAATAGAAAAAAAATACTTTTAAATTATACTGTTTGTGTCAACTTAGTGCCGTGTGTCATTTCATTTATAATGAAATGAAATTGGTCCATACCCTGCAGCGTTTGTTTTGAAAGAGCTTCCGGGAAGTCATTCATTTCATCATGGTTGCCTTGACGCGAACACCCCGGACCATCCCCCATCTGGCGGCTCCTTTCTGAGCCATTCACCGGCGGAGAGGACGGAGGCTGGAGCTGTAGATGAAGACAATGATAACATTTTAAACAACACACACAGGAGCTGGATTACATCTTCATCCCGGTACGTTACTCTTTCTCTTCCATGTCCACTGCTGATTTGCTGTTGGTCCAATAGGTTTATTCAAAGCTCATTATATTGCTGAACGGTTACAAACCCTATCGATGAGAGGAGGCATCTGTTATAACCACTGGTGCTGCAGAGGAGACACAATTAAAGTCCACGATATTAACAAATGAATCGATCTGAGAAGAAAAGTCTGATAATGAAGTTTGATTTTGGCTTCATGTTTGCACAATAACAACCAGCGGTTTAAGGTGAGGTGCAGAAGATGTAACTCAAACCCCCAAAACCAGTCTATAAACTCCTGCTTTGTGACACCTCTAATAAAAATAATGCAATGTCAGTTTGACTTGTGAAAATTGCATTCAGCAGCATTTACAGTGTGGAAAAAAGCTGTGATGCAGAGAGGATCTGGCTCAGGCTGCAGCAAAGCACAGGGAGGGATGATGTCCATAAAGTCAAACAGCTCGTCTGTGCAGGGGAAATCCTGTGTTTCCTCCACACCAGCACATTTCTCTGATTTATGGCTGGAGTAGAGCAGCTGGTGGTGGATCAGGTCAGAGCTGCTGTGAAGTGCCGACCTTCATCTCTCACTGCGAGCAAGCTCTGAACTCTGATGGACTGATGCATCTTAAGACCTCAAAGACACACAAGGAGCACACACTGACTACATAGAAACACCAAACGACTTCAAAATATATTAAATAGCCACAAAGAGACAAACAGATGACCACAAAACACACAAACAATTACAAAGAGAAAATGATCACAGGAAGAAATAAAACAACAAAAAGACAAAACAGTAACAAAATGACATAAATACACATAATTAACAACACAAAGACACAAAATAACATCTAAGGACACAAAAAGAACACAAGGACATAAAAAGGGCCACAAACGGACTCAATACTTTGACAAAATTTACAAAACAGCTATGAAGAGAAACCAAATGACCACAGGACGACACAAAACAACAAAAAAAGACACACGCAAACCCCCCACAAAGACAGAAAGACTGATTTCAAAGAGACGCCAAACAACAATAAAGTGACTTCATACAGCTACAAAATGACACACAATAACCACAACACACAAAACTTTGAAGAGATACAGAAGAGCTACAAAGAGACACAAATGATGACATGAAGACACAGAATAACAACAAGTTAACACAGAAGGAACAAAAATTGGCATCATATTTTGACACAAAATGATCAGAAAACGATTACAAAATATGCAAAACAGCTACAAAGAGACTCAAAATGACCACAGCCACACAAATCCTCTCAGTCAGTGTGTTTGCAGGGTGAATACAAATCCCCGGCCTCCTGTAACTGTTTGTTTAGATGAAATCATCTCATCTCGTTTCTGATCATCAAACTCATCAACCTGCAATAACAGAACTAAAACAAACACTCTGCTGCTTTCACAGAGGATCGTTTAGAAACACTGAACAGGAGAGAAACATCGTGAGTCACTGTGTTCTCAGCATGAAACACAAACGCAGTCATCACAGTGTCGGACAAACTTCTGCTTTATTTCATGGAAATCTCATCGCAGAGTGGACCCGTGTGCGTCTCTGCTTTTATTTGAGCGAGTGTCTAATTGGTTTAATTCATGTGACAAATTAGGAACACTCATTTCATTTGCAGCTCTCCTGTCTGTTTATGTAGGAGCAGTGACAGATGAGGTGTCATTGTTAATGTAATTAATTAGACTAAACCCTAAATCCTGTTTCTTCTTTCTTTGTAGAAATAGATTTGACCATGTTATTCCCAGCGGGCTAAGACACAACAGTTTGCTTTCAATTTCCATTTGTTCCTACAAGGCCAGCACGTCACATCTGCTGCTCACAATCCCCCCCTGACATTAGATAATTGAAAGAAAGCAATTATTCTTCTCCACACGTCCCTTTAGCCTTTGTATGGCTTCAGACATCCACAGCTTCTTCAACCACGTCTGGGTTTGCGTTAATGCAAATGAAAAATTCTTTTTTTTAATCTCAGCTCCTCTTAGAATTACTACAGAGCGAAATAGAATTTATCAAAGTTACGTGTTGCTCTCCAAGGTCTGTTAGCTCGAGGGGTGGGCTTCTACAATATTTTACAAAATTAAAATCTCAAAATATCTCTCAAAATGTAGAAAATGTTAGCTTTCTATATATCTAATACTGTATTAACTAAACGTTATATTATCTAAATCAATGATGCATGTCACTTGGCTTAAGTGCTGCACTTAAGTCATGTGGTTCGTGAAACCCTGATGAACACGACATGTGATTCTGCTCACAGTGACTTTAGGCTCTGACTCCAATGAGCTTGGTCATGGTTCACACTGTCGTCATTATTATGGACAGAAACAGTTCTATCTTCAGGCGTCATCAATGTCTCCATCATGTCTGCGTTCCACTAGTCATGCTTCTTACAAAACTTTATTTAACTTTCACAAGTTCATCTATTTAAATGCATCATTTCAAATAAAAAGTTATAACACCATATAGTTAAAGGTACTAAAGGGACCTTCAGTGGAATTAAATGAGCCAAAGTTTTATAAGTAATGAGATAAACGTAATTCCACCATGTCTCTGTGTGATGCTCGTATTGTATGTAATATCAAACACTGAAGCTGATGACTTACACGGACCCTACATACATGATCAGAGGCTCGTACATACCAGCTGAGTGTTGAGACAATGGGGCTTTTGGCTTTGGCTTGAACTGGAAGGTAACTGGAGCCTGAGATAGGATCCTCTCAAGGCATCATGGGAAAAAGGCAGTGCTGCATTTCCTGAAAGGCCTCAGGGGTTTACATCCCATGGTTGTGCCGGTCAGGGTGATACCACACATGAATAGACTCGAGCTTTTTCAGTGTGTGATGGTGCGATTCTGTAGGAAAACTGGCAGAGGTGTCGTTATGTGGCGGTGCAGGATCAGATAAAACTTAAGAAAGCTATTTTTTTTGCAAATAGACATAATACAAAATGATGATCATATTTGGTTCTGTATAGTTTTCTTCTAACATAGTAATTTTGACTCGTCATTATCATATCCATGATATCATTTCCATTTTTGAAATGAAAACATACATCAGTGTGGACGTAACCGTAGAAACATCTTCCCAGACACTGATTAAAAATCCCTGCTCGTGTGTCTGACTCTGGCCCGAGCCGACAGATCCTGAATCAGCAGAATTTAACCAGCAGGTTTACGGAGCAGATCGTCAGCTTCATGCCAACACACTCTTTGTGTTCAGCTCTTATATCCTGAGCTTTAGCTGCATCCAGGTCTCTAGAGAAGCCTCTCTAGATTTCATTCTAAGGGAAGAAAAACACAACACTTCTTAGTTTCAGATGATTATACACTAATACAAATGTAATTATGAATATTATATTCATTTTTCTGCCAAAAGATCCCCTTAAATACTACATAATGAATCTGTAAGGCCTCTTCTAGTATTTATACACTGTGTTTATTTTTAACTACCTGTTTGCTGCCAATATTTCAAAAGCACAGATGGTTCTGCTGCCAAACTTTAGCTAAGTCTCACCTTCACCTGCTCTGGTCATTAAACGTCAAAAACTCCTTTTTATTATTGTCTTTACTACTAAGTTTAAATGTCCGTCAGCCTTGTGTGACTGCTGGTGAGAGTTCCAGTCAACAAAGTGATTTCCTCTAAGTTGTTGTGGGTCCGCGTCACGTGACTTGCATGTTTCCACTTTGTGGAGCGTAATAAATCAGTGTGTATCTCCGGGGCATCTCTGCAGTATAGATGGTGCATCACAGAAGCCATCTCACAGGAACAAGGGAGGCTATTACAAGTTGTTGGCTGCAGGTTTGCTTTGGTCCTCCGAGGCTCCGGCGTGTCAGATTTATGATGTCGGTGAAGTGCTTCCCAAACAAATGAGAGGAAGGAAGAGAGCCTGATGTTGCCGTGGCGACTCAGTATGTTAAAGGTGCTGTGTGCAGGACTTTGAGTGACTGTTAATGTGATTTTGATGTTGATTATTATTTTCATTCCTGGTTAATATGCCGATTATTTGTCAGATAAAATGTCAGATAATAGTGTAAACACAGTCTCTTGAAGTTGATGGGGTAGAATATGTTGTTTTTTATAAGCTTGTGTTCCTCAATGAGTCTAAAACCCTAAAATAATTAGTTAATTATCACACAAACGACAAAGGAAAGCAGCAAATCCAACAGAGAAGCTGAAACTGGGGAAAATGTTTTCTTTTGTTTGCAAAAATGGCTCAAAACCACACATTTTCTATCAATTGACTGATTGATTGACCTTTGGGTTGAACACGCATTTGTGTATTGATTACAGCTGCACCCATTCCATTATTTATGAACTGTCGTTGGTTTTAGGATTTAAAGTTAATGAAAGAGTTAGAGTGCAAAACACAAATTAGACAAATCAAGTTTTGTAAAAGTTAAAAATGTCAGAAAAAGGTGAAAGATTTCTTCTGACTATAACTTTAAAATCCAAATAGATTTCAAATTACTATCAAATATGACAAACCACAGTATAAAATATAAACAAATGAGAAGCTTGAACCAGAGAATATTTGGCATCTTTGCCTCAAAATTGCTAAACTGGTTGTCTAATCTATATATCTGTATTTAAATGCTCAATAAATTGATTAATTGATCAATTGTTTCGGTTCAGATTTTGTCATTGATGCATTTTTGTGTGTTTGTCAATGCAACAAAAATACAATATTTAATCTGTACCTCGTACCTGCATCCTGTTTCCTGTGAGTGGATCTCATTTCTAACAGCAAGAGAAGACTTCATTTATCAGAACAACAACTGAGGCCTTTTGTGTGTGTTTGTGTGTGTGTGTGTGTGTGTGTGTGTGTGTGTGTGTGTGTGTGTGTTTGTGCACTTCTCATAGCTTTCAGCAGCTGCATTTGCTGTGAATGAGTTGCTACATCTCATCCTTAGAGATTCCTGCCTAGTATCAGCTTCCCTCTGTCCGGGGCTCAGAGTGTGTGTCTG